TTGGGCTCAGTACCCTCTGACCAACCTTGTCTGGTCCCATCTCTTCCAAAGATTCCCAAGGGCTTCTAGAAAGCTCACATTCAGGAAGTTAGAGTTCTCAACCTGGAGATTTCAGAAAGGCTGGCGCCTGGAGGACTAGGGACCACCTATTCTCCCAGCCTTAAGCAAGATCAGATATGACCTTCCTGCTTAGGACCAGTCCCTCCCATTCCCTCTGTCCTGCTTCAGCTTGGCGCCTGTCTATCCTTGATCTGAACCTAAAGGATCTGCCCCACGGGCCCCCAGATACCTCTCCCTTTGAGCACGTTCCTAGGGTGACCTGAGATAAGACCATATCTACAAAATGAGAAAAGTAGCTTCTCCCAGAGCCCTAGGCTCCAATGAGATGAGTTGAAATTCCATTCCTTCCCTAAGATCACTCTTACCCAGCCCCAGAGGGGCTTCCACCCAGCTGCAGCACAGCAGGCGGTCCTAGAGCTCTGGTTAATGTCCCTGGGTGGATCTTTATCTCACCTCTGCACTTCTCCCTAGATCCTACCTTAGGAGGGCTCCTTATTCCTGAGACCCCCAGAATCCCCTCCTCCTCTCTCCTCCCATGCCCCCCCTTTTTTTATTTATCTGGTTTGGCACCAGTTCGTCTCTGCCATTCGAAGGCTCAGCCACCATGCCTCTAGTCATCAATAACTAACACAACGTGAGGCCCAGGACCTGTTTGAGTGGCCCTTAGATATTGGGTACCCAAACCCTAGCACAGTCACCCACTCCCAGGCAGGCTGTTCACATCCATACCCACCTGCAGGGGAGTCTGAGAAAGGCTGAGGGCTCTCCGTGGACAGGACCAGCAGCAGGCACTGTCCGACAACCTCACCCCTTCGTGTTATAGTGACATCTGATCTTCCCTGGCAGCCCATTGGCCGGCAGATGGGTGGCTGGGGCATGGGGCATGGGGAGGGGGAGGGTGTGCCCAAGCAGGCCCCCTGACCAAGTATAGGAATGCCCCAGAGGGGGAGGCCCAAGGAGGCCAGGATGGAGGAGACATGCTTGGAGGACGAGGAGGCAAGGTCCCCAACTGTCCTAGAAAGGTGTCAGTTGCTATTTTTACCTACCCCCCCCCCCAGCAACGGGCACATGTTTGATGGGCTGAAGGAGGGAGGAGGGATGGATTAGGTGGAGCCAAAGGCTGTTCTTGAGCCAGCTGGTATTGGGGAGTGGTCATCAGAGCCTGGGTTTCAAATTCCTTGGCTCCCTGTTCCTCTGCCCAAGGTGGCTTGTAGGAGTAGGTATTTTGCTCAAGATAGGGGTCTAACTCCTTGTGGCACCCCGGTAGCTCTGCCCTACATCTCTGTCATAGAGACAGCTGAAGACACTCATAGAATGAAGGACCTTGGATCCTTGACCTGTATCACACCAAACCCTTTACAGGCCAGGCTTATTTTTTCAAGTGGCTATCATTGGAACACATAGCATGAGAAAAACAAGAGAAATGATGACCTAAACCCTGTGGTGGTTGTCCATCTTCCCCACTGACTGGGGAAGGCTGGGTCATGTTTAGGCCTGTTATTGGTCTCGGAGTTCCCTACTAAGTCGTGGAGACCTGGGCCCTGCTGGGCTCTGAGCAGGCCTGGCCATATGCCTGGCCTTTCTTTCCTCAAGACTCCAGGGGGCACCATCCAACCATGACACCTCTCCTGGGCCTTGTGTGCCTGCATAGCCCTGACTCTAGGGAAATCAAAGAACCAATTAGCAAGAGACCAACCTAGCACTTCCCACTCCCTCCCTCAACCCTCGCAGACCCTACGGGTTGGACATGGCTACTAGAGCCCACAGATCTGTCCAGTTCAGGGATAAAGCCAATGTGAAGTATAAATGGTAGATGAACCCTGGGGGACAGAGACAGGGCTCCTGTCCTTTGGTCTCCTAGGGTTAGAGACGTCAGGATGACCAGCAGGAGGCTCACAGTAAATATCCCAGTCTCAGCTGGATCTTAAAATTTCTGGAAGGTTGCGACTGACCCACCAACCACTTCCTACTTGCCATAAAGTGGCAGAAACACACAAGACCCACCTTTGGTCAAAAGCAGGGTGGAGTCAGTCTTCTAGCTTGTTGGCTCATAAAACAGGCTTCTCTCTTGCTCTCCTCTCCTCCAAGCACCTGTCCCTTAGAGACCCCTCAAAGCTGGAGTTGTTGGGCTACCCCAACCTTCCTGGCCAGAGCCTATGCTTCCCTCCACACCTATCCATGTCCTTGGATAGACAGGGTTCAGTGAGCTCCAAATCACATGGATGCCCAGCTCACTCTAGCCTTGGGAGTCCTGTAGAGTTTATGAAGCCCCACACTGGTGCCAAGGGGACTCTAAATCTCTTCTGTGCTAAGGCCAGCCTCCCTTTCATCTGGCTTTACTGAGACCAAGCACATCTCTCAGCTGATTGACACAGAGAGCAGGCATGAGGGGTTTGTGTGGTTATTGAACCCCTGCATCCAGAAGCTCTTGTCTGAGAGGAATGGGGGTCCTTAGAGGTCTATAGGTGGGTATGCTACTATCTCTGTAATGGCTCCTTATGGCCAGCAGAGGAGGGTGGCAGCCACTTCAGAAGCCTTTGGCAAGCACTCTCAGTGAGGTCAGAGAGACAGGGCAGGTCTTATTTTGGGTAACAGTCATCTCCTTCTCAGGGGATCAGGCCCAAGGTACAGCAGGACAGCACAGAGTGGGCATTGCTGGACCAGCTGCTGCCGGTCACTAAAGATTTGAGCAGGTAACACATGCCAGGTAATATACAACAGGTCCTCCTTGGCTTGGCGGGGAGAGAAGACAGAGCAAAAGGCTCTGTGGGGATCTGGGAGAGGATTGGAGACCCTGGTGGAGGTGGGGGACAAAGTCTGTTGGATGGGGGCTGGACTTCTACCCAGGAGACTGAGAAGCAGTGGAGTTTGAGGCTTTGCAGAGAGGTTGTGGAGGACCCCTCAAAGTTGATGTATGCAGAACTGAGCCCAGAGGACAGAGGAGGCTGAGAAGGGCCTGTGTCTTGGCTCCATTAGCCAATATGAGTAACTCCTAGGATAGTGGGGTGCTCAGAGGCCTTTCAGTCTGGGTGCTAAGCAGTCTGGGATTGGAAGAACCCCTGGACCCTGAGCCTTACCCAGCTCCCCTAGTTGACCCACTGTGACTAGCTCTGCCAAGCTCAAGATAGGATTGGCTGACGTGGCACTTGGGACTCGGCCGCTATGATCTGGGCAGCAGCTGCCTCCACACATGACAGTTTCTCCTGGTTCTAAAAGCTCAGATTGGCTCTACAGGTATTAGGACACTTCCTGTGTCCATGGGACTTCACTCTGAACAGGGCCTGGAGGAAGAAGCAGCAGCTTTTGGGCCCCTCAGGAGTCAGGCAGAGAGAGGGAAGGGCAGTGTCGTAGTGTCATTGGCAAAGTGGCCAGTGTTATAGACTCCATACCTGAGACCCAAGCAAGATTTAGTGGAGTTATACTTAGAGGGCACACCTTGCACTATCCTCCTGAGGCCCAAGAGCGAGGCTGGGCAAGTCAGGGGAATGGGGTGCAATAAACACTTTTCCCTCAGCCTCTTGACATGCCCATTCTGGTCCTATGCTAGTGTCTTGCTCCCTGTCCCCTTAAGGACCTTGAAACAGCTTCTGCTTGCTGCCCTTGGCCACCACCTCATCTGAGTAGGAAGGGCAGGGAGTATCCTGTGTTCCGGGAGAAGCTCCTGGTTGAGCAAAGTAGGGCTCTATGATGGTGAGGCTGTGAGCAGGAATGGGGTCATCCACCTGTATGCTTCAGCAGCCCTGTCTGCTGAGCTTTAATAGTCCAGAGCTATGTGTTCCCACCAGGGGAGTTTGAAGCTTTCAGAAAGTCACGATCCTGAATGTCTAGGTGGATGCCAGTCAAGCTTAGACCATCACCAGTCAAGGATCTACAGATTCTAGAAGCAACAGGGCTCAGCATCAGGCCAAGGGGCAGGCTTGTGAGGGGAAGGAGCCCCGAGGACAACGTCTCATAGCTCAACTGCCATTCACATACTTGTTCAGCCACTGTACATTCACTCATCCTCACAATCAGCTCTCACGTTTGCTACTTCCTTCCTTTCTTCTCTCCTTTATCACCATTTTCTACTCACCCACCTACTATCTACTCATCCACCCATCCGTCCATCCATCCATTCAACTACTTACCCATCCACCTGTCACTATTCATCTACCCACCCATTATCCATTCACTTTTCCATCTATCCATCCATTTACCCAGCCAGCCAGCTACCCACTCATTTTTCTATTTCTCTATCTACCCATCAATGATCTATCCTTCCACCTACATACTCACCTATCCATCCATTTATCTATCTACTTATGTTCTGTCCATCAATCCATCCACTTACCCATAAGCCCACCCACCCATTCTTCTGTCACCTATCACCCACCTGTCTATTCATCTATTACCCACCCATTCACCTAATAATCCATCAATCATTCATCCTTCCACTCCTACTTATCCATTTATTTATCATCTACATACCTACCTATCTGTCCATCCATCCATCCACCCATCCATCCATCCATTAGCTACCCAACAACCTAACTGCCTATCCATTCAACAATCCTTCCATCCATCTGTTCATCCATCACACCTTCAGAAAGTACCCTCTGGGTACTAAGATGGGGACTGCCTGGTGACAGTACTTGTCCTTAGTGCACACTACTAGGAACAGACTGAAATGCCCTCATTCAGGTACTAGGAAGTTTATTTTTATCCAGGCAAGGAGTGTCACCAATGTTCTGGAAGAGGAGTAAGCCAAATCCATTGTTGATACCCCAACTTGGGTCACCCCATACCTAAGATCCTGGAGCATAACACACTGCAAGGCCATAGGACAAGACAGAGTGGTCGCCCACAGAGCTGGTATATGCTATGCAGTGTGAGGTGGCCAACAGATGTGGCACATTCTGTTCTGACCTTGTTCCCTGTTAGTAAGTACAGGAGAGCCAGTGCATGGGAACACTCAAGGTACTTTATTACACAAAACAAGGGGTCTGCAAATAGGGAAGGCCAAGACTCAGAGTCCTGAGCATTTAGCATGGAGACAGGTACCCCTTGGATCTGGTTGGGATGCTGGCCTTCTCTCCTCCATCCTTCCTTGGGAGCTCTTGGCTCCTCTAGGGAGTGGTCCCTTTTGCTGATGGTGAGAGGCAGTGTTGGTGGGGGTGGGGACTGGTCAAATGATGAGAGTCATAGAAGATGGAGGGTCCAGGAGCAGAAGGAGAGGGAAGTGGCAGCTGGGTTGTTGGAGGCATGAGAGCAGGCCAGACTGGCAACGGGAAGCAACTTCTTGGTCAGGGCTGGGAGTGGCATCTGACTGGAGTCTCTCCTGGGAACACAGGCAAGGGTACAGGATGCATTAGGCTGGGGTTGACAGAGAGGCATGGCATGGCCTGCCCCTCTCCTAGTGGCCATCAGACCTCACCATACCCCTTCTTATCTGGGGAAGCTCCTGCTTACTGTGGTCAGTCACCTGGGAGACCTGCTCTCAGGATAAACTCTATTCTGGGCCTAGGCTGGCTCAGGAGGGAATACTGACCACCCACTGAGGCAGCCCCCTTGAACCAAACCCAAAGTTGCCCCAGTTCTCAAATCCCAGTTTTCCAAAGGTTACCCAGAAGCTGGGAGCAAGTGTGGGAAGAGCCCTCCAGCCCCCTTGCCAGTGTTTGCTCCTGCTTCAGCAAAGCCAGCTCCGACTGCAGCAGCCATAGGCCTCCTTCGCCCCAAACCAGATGGCCTCCAGTGCAGCCCAGATGCCATTTGTCAATGTCCTTGCAAACACGTGGCGCCCAGAAACCAAGACAGGCAGCTTGGCCAGGACCACCCTTGGCAGGAGGGCTGTGGGGATATCTCATTCAGCAGAGCTCAGCGAAAACTGCTCCCATCTTCCGGCCAATCTACCTCTAAGGCTACAGCCTCAGCTTGCCTGAGCTTTTTGGCTGCCACCCCTCACCACTGTCTCAAAGCACACGGACACGCCTGTGGTCAGGCTGGCGACGGAATGGCGCCCCTCACGTGTCTGCAGACAGCCTGCCCTCCACCACGGTCCGGCAGCTGGCCAGGCACAGACAGTTTTCTTGTAGTTCATCAGTGGGTCTCTGTTCCCATCCTGCACTACTCTAGGACTGGGCCCAAGCTGGGTACTTGTAGGTAAGGCCAGAGGACAGAGCCCTGAAGGCAGGCAGGTTCTAGCCCTTGTCACCCACCAAGTGACCTGGAGCCACTCTAAGTTCCCCTCCACAGCAGAGTGTGATGAAGCCACCCACAGTGACCAATGCATAAGGTTAGAAGGTACTTTGCAGTTTGGGGGGAGGCTGGGAAGCAGGCTTCTAGTAGCTGAGTCTGCATATTTTCCCACTTCCTCAATACAACTAGGAAAACACCCAGCCCCTCCTGTGGGCAGGGGAAGGGCCCCAGCATGACCACTGCTTCTCCCCTCTACCCCAGACCAGGGATGCTTATTTCAGTCGTGTCGATGCCCCCGGCAGCAGGTGGCCCGAGACCTGAGGCCCCCCCTGGGGCCCCACCACCCCTGCTGCCCAAACCCGGAAAAGACAACCAGAGACTTCAGAAGCTACTAAGAAAAGCCGCTCGGAAGAAGATGCTGGGAACGACCGCCACCTCACCTGGGGCCTTCCGTACCTCCCTGTCCCCTGTGAGTGAGGCCAGTCATGACCTGGAGACCACAGTCCAACGTCCTGCTGAAGCCCCTCATGTGGTGGTCCCCCTACCCCGCTCCCCACATACCCCCATTATTCACCACGTGGCCTCACCCCTGCAGAAGTCCACTTTCTCTTTCAGCCTTCCTCAGCAAAGGTCTCTGGCAACTCATTTCAAGGCACCTCCTAGGCTTGAACCCCCAGCCCCAGAAACTGCCTGGCCCCGCAGTGGCTTTGCCCATGTATCTGCCCCTACAGCGGGTGGTACCCACATCACCCAGGTTCATATCCAGCTGTCATCGTCCTTGCATACTGGGACTTCTGAGTCCCCCAGGATGGCCCTGGATGAGGATAAAAGCCCATGTACTTCCAGCACCCAGCCTCTCATCCCAGTAGCACATATTCGACCACTGCCCACTGGGGTGCAAGCAGTCAGTCCTGGGCCTGAGGAGCCCCCTGTAACAAAACCACCACCCAGCTTTCAGGCCTCAATGTCTAGAGAGGCTGGCACTAGGGTGGTGGTGCCCATAGCCCCTACCTACCGTTCATCTGGACCCTCACCTTATACCCCAGCTCCTGCAGCTCCTGAAGAAGAACACCTAGAGGAGCTGCCCACAGCAAGGCTTGCTATGGAGCCTAAGCATGCCTCCAACCTCCCAGAAGCCTTGGGCCCCTCAGGCCTCCACCCATGCCCTGTTCCCAAAGTTGCACCCAAGCCCTGCCTTAGCGGCTGGACACGCCTAAAGAAGCAGCTGATGGAGGAGGCAGAGGAGCCTGCATTTCCAGAGCCAGAGCTGAGCTCGGAGCCCACGCAGCCAGAGGCGCCAGCCCCTGTGTGCCCACAGCCCCCTGCCTCCAGGGCCTCTAGGATGTGGGATGCAGTGCTGTATCGCATGTCACTGGCTGAGTCCCGTAGAGGCCACCCTGTGGGGCCTGGAGATGGGGGACACCCCCTGGCCTGCCTCAGCCGCCTGCCTTTTCTGTGCCGACCTCGCTTCAATGCCCGGAAGCTACAGGAGGCTGTCCGGCCCCCTCCGACCCTGCATCCCATCCTGGAGCTGCATTCTCAGCCCAAGAACTTCAACCGGACAGCAGCAGGTTGGAGGCTCCAGTGATGTAGCCAGAATGGTCTCTGGGACTCTGGACTGGGGTGGACAGAGACTGACTGAGGCTGAGGATGCAGAGAGAGGGCCTCAGTCCTCACAAGGGAACATAATGGATCCGGATGGTACATGGCCATGGCAGCTGGCTACTGGCTGCTAAAAGGAGCCTATTGGATAGACACAGATGAGTTGGTGGGAACAGAAATGACAAGTGAGAGAGGTGGATGAAGCCGGGAGCATGTGGGTGGAGGCAATTTGAAAGTGTGGAGGAGAATGCAAGTTGGAGAATGTTCATGGATGGTGGGAGCCTGACCTCAAGACCAGGGTTCATGGAGGGCTCTAGGTCCAGTGCAAGCTGGTTTGGATGAGGGGTATTCAGAGGTACATAGGACTGGGCAGTGGAGAAAGGATGTTCTGTGGTCTCTTCTGATTTCCTGCCAGTAAGGGCTTACTGGGTAGAACTGCAGTGAGGGCAGGGCTTAGTGCAAAACACAACCAAGTTTCAGCAGTTGGGGAAGGACAGGTCAAGCCAGAGGGCTATGAAGAGGCAGGGGCCAGGCACGAGAAGGACCCTACCCAAGATCTGCCCACATCAGCTGTGAGAAGAGGGACCCAAAGGAATCAGAAGAGGCTTCCCGCCACAGCTACCATAACAGGATTCAGCAGGGACTGGGCTAGCAGTCCTACCTTGGATAGGATGGGTACTATGGCTGTGGATAGAGCCACCAATAAATGTATGTATACTCACACAGGTATCACCTCTGTGTTCTCCATGGGATGGGGAGAGCAGCAGAGTACCCAGGGGCCTTCAACTGAGCACAAGCCAAGATCCTACCTCCTTTAATGGATGTATGTGGAAGCTATGCCACATTCATTCTCCAGGGCCAGGCCACACTATGATGAGCCCCACTGGATATGGTAGGAGTTCCTAAATGGAGTTTTGAGTCTCCTATGGACAGTACTGATCCTGCTTAAGGGGATAGAATTCCAGGTTTCAGAGAGCCAGGAAGACAGCTGGTAGCCAGACAGAAGACATGGCCACTCTAAGGCCAGGTCTTCAGGCCTCAAGCCCTGAGATATGGCCCATCCATGCCAGTATATTCCCAGGAGGACCCATTTTGTCATGCTCTGGTCCTTCGACTCACCAAGATACATGCATGATCTACGGTGCCGAGCCTTCATCCACAAGCACTTTCTCGTACTTCCCATGTCCAGTGGCCACGAACTTGTATCTCTTTCCAGATGGGGTGCTCTGTTAGGTGAGACTAAAGTGTCACGGAGGTAACTCTAGGAAGGGGATGCTGCCACCTCCAGGAAGCCTTTGAGGATGGGATGCAGTAGCAGCCATCTTTGCTCACTACTAGCCTGTGCCTAGCACATAGAGACCTTCCTACCTTGATGGTGGATGAGATCTTGGAGCCTCCTTTCTGCTCCCACAGGCTCTTCTTGCTCATGTCTCCAGCTACAATATCCTAGGGGCAGACACAGGGCAGGGTCTGTCACAGGACAGATACTGGCCAAGGGGCCTTCTCTTCTGCCTGGTGCTGGAAGGTGGAGGACCTACCCACCTCACTTTTGGCAGGGAGGAAAGCAGAGTCATACTGCCCGTTTATCAGGACAACATGGATTTTTTTTCTTGAGGCCCAAATCCTATCCCATCCACACTTCACCTTGGCTCTCCCAGATTTGCTTTTCCAAGGGACGCACCCCCAATGATGGCTAATTTCCCATGCTCAGTCTTCCCAGTTTGGCCTGCTTGGGGAGGAATCCTACCTGGCAGGAGGGTGTCTTGGAAGCAGACTGAGTCTGTACCTCTCCTGTCTCCCAACGAGTCTTGGTACTGGCTACAGCCATACTGGGCAGCTCTATGGAAGGCTGTCGGGACAGCTTGGGAGTTCGGCCAGCAGACTGCAGAGGAGACAGAGCCCCAAGAGAGTCGTCATGGTGGGCATCGGCACCCCTTGTTCACCTTTGTGTTGGCTGGAGGTAGCGATTCTGAACAGATGCACTAGCCTTCATTTGGTGCCCCATGAGCTACCACCCCCAGTTCTGAAGAACACGGGAGACACAGTGTCATGTGGGTTCTGCCTCATGCTACACATCTTGGGGCTGGAAGAGCATTAATTTGATGGAGAATATGGGTTAGATGGAGAAGATTTTTGGTGTGATGGAGGAATACCTGAAGAAAGGGTGTTGGTTGATTAGAAGGATGTGGGTTTGATGGAGGAGGACTCACAATGGGATAGAGGAAGAGTATATAGAGGAATGTTGCCTGAATGGAGGGGTGGTGGTGGGGTGGAGGAGTGCTTGTTGAATAGAGAGACACTGATTGGGTGGAGGGGTACTAGTTAGAGAGATATTGATTGGATGGAGGGGGTGTTGGTTAGGTAGAGGGGTATAAAATGAAGAACAGTGTTGATGGAGGGGTGTAGGTTAGATGGAGGGATGTTGTTTAAGTAAGTGGGCTTTGTTAGACTGAGGGAGTGCTGCTGTATGGTGGGAGGGGTACTGGCTGAATGGGGTGTGTGACAGGACAGAGGCATGCCTGTTGTAATGTGAGAGACCTAGGGTTGATGGAAGATACAATGGGAGTTAATAAAAGGACATTGCTTGAGTAGAGAGGGGTATGATGGGATGGAGAGAGTAGCTTAGGTGGATGGGCATCAGGGGAATGGATGATGGCTTATTCAAGAGGAGGCTTGGCCTCAGAACTGAGCATACTTCACCTCAGTGGCCTGGGTATACTGCTGCAGGCGCTCATCAATTGTGGAAATGGGCAAGGCTGGTTGGGACTTCTTCACACTGTTGCTGGGAGTAGAAGGAAGGATAAGCCTTATGTTCCTTCCCAATGTCCTCCAAGTCCACCCAGAGCACCGCCTCCCCTGATCTTGACCCACAGCCGCTATCCCACCATGTCTCTGAGAATGCTAGAAAGCAAGCAGACACACCTCTTCTTTATGGAGCGATTCAGGGACTCCGTCCTATCAGCCAGCTGTGGAGGGTGCACAGAGGTGTGGGTCATGGAAAGCCACCCAAGAGCCATCCATGTTCTATCCCCTAGTAAGTCTACCCACTGACCCAACCACGCTTCTGTATCACAGGGGTTTGCCAGGGTAGCAGAGGATGAGGAGAACATGAGCAGTAGACACAAGCAGGGAGAAAGGGGATGCTCAGGCTTCACCTACTTTGGTTGTGGGGCTTAGGGGAGGTGAACTCAGTTCAACAGTCCCTTCCAAGGCCAAAGGGCTGGGGGTCCTGGCCTGATGACTTGTCAGGTGCTAGGGATAAGAAACACAGGCAGCTTAGATGACCCCTCCCTGCACCCTCCTGCCCCACCCAGGGCCTGTCGGAGCAGCGGTCTTCCCCTCTGGGGCCTTGGGCCTGGTCTGGCCCTGACATGCTCCAACTCTGGAATCCCCGACTGCAGGGAAGAGTCTCTTGGTCATGGAAGAGGAACTTGCCCAGAGGGTCACCAGCTTCACCAGCCTCCAAGAATATGTCCTGGAAGGACTCAAGTACAGTGTTGGGAGTGATGTCTTCTAGGCCAGTCTTTGAGACCACAGCACTCATGGAATATCACAGCCCCAGCCCCTGGGGAAGCCCTCACCTCTTACCTCTTCTGCCTCCCCAGAACTTCCAATAGCATCCTCTGGATTGGGCTCCCCCTGGCTCAGGTTTAACTCCTCCAGGTGGACTTTGGTTTCGTAAGCCCTGTGAGAGAAGAGGGAGACAAAGTCAATTGTAGAGGACCATTTGTTGCTTGGTTCTAGACTACTTCCAGTTCCGAGCCTCAGGTGTGCCATCTGTAAAATGGGGGAAGTCCAATGAGTTGGTGCACAGGGCTCTTAAGAACCCAGCGACTAAAAAACATTTTTTTTTACATTTATTTATTTAAAGGGTTGGTTCAGAAGACAGCTTGAGGGAGTCTCCCTCCTCCATGTGGGTCCTGGGCTGCTAACTCAGGGTGTTAGGCTCAGGTCCAGCCAGAGCACTTTTCTAGAAGGATATGTAGGGCTTTGTTGAAAGCCAGCACTGTCCTAGGGCCTCTGTGCCAAGAGGCTCTAGAAGGTCCCTTTGAAGACATTAGCTATTGCCCACTCCTCATTGTATAGGGCCACCCAAGTACTGAAGCTGGATGCCTCCTGTAGTTCCTCTATCTGGACAAGCCCAGCTTCTGGAAACTTTTGCCCTGCCCATGTATGGGCAAATGGGTCAGCAGAACATAACATTGAGGAGAGGATATTGGGGGCCCAGGCCCAGAGTGTTTGGGGGTGCTGGGTCAGCGGGTGGAAGAAACCAGGGAAGGGACTGCATTTCTGAGGCGAGGGGCCTTGGGAGGGGCAGCTAGCCAGTGGGCAGCCGGGCGTGACTCTGCATTTGAGTGAGTGGTTCTGAACCTGGAGGAGAAGATAGTAAATTCTTGTATTTTCCATTATGTCAGGCCCCTTGGTGTATGCGCCAGCCAAAACCCAAACCCACCGCCCAAGGTGGGCTGGGGCTGGAGCCAGCAGCAGCCACACAGAGGGGCCATTCAAGAGCTGGCGGTGTGCGGGCTAGGCAGCCAGGCGGGTTTGAGGGTAGGGTGGAGGCTGCTGCAGCACGGAGCTCTGCTGGAAGATCAAAAGTGCCCCCTGCTGTTGAGGAGGAGAAGGGAGTGAGCTGAGAGCAGGGCTGTAGCTGCCTGCCTAGAAACCCAGAATGTGCACAAAGCACCCAGGCACATTGGGGGAAATCGAGGCTGGTGATGGGCAGACCCAGGATAGCTGGCAGTGGACAGGCTCAGAATCAGGGCCCCAGAAAAACAGGGTTTTTGGAATGCAGAGGATGGTTGAAACTGGAGTACATTAAATAAGAAAGAGCTGAGCTGAGCAGTTGCTCTTGCTGGCCTGGGGCCTTGGAGGGGCCAGGAAGGGGGCCGGATCACTTGAGAAGACAGCTCAGCCTTGGCTCTGGCCCACTCAAGGCAATGGGGCCCTGGCCTCCAATTTTGGAGCTCCTTAGCAGGGCCAGAGACCCTCACTACCCAGGCCTGATGGGAGAGGCAGACTTATCCCCACACCTGGCCCTGAACTGGGAGGAAGGCAAGGTGAGACTTCATCAGCAATCCTTCATCTCCAGACCCAAGGGGGCTGTAGGCCCCCATTCATCCTGATTTAGACAGGCAGACACGTCCACACATCTGGAAAGCGTGTCCCATGGGCCGTCTCACAGGCACACATCTGGAAGTACCTGCTCCCCTTCGTGGGAATGGAGCTCAGCCAGCCTGGGGAGGGCGGGCGGGCGTGGGCTGCAGCGCCTACATTACGTAAGTGGGCTGCAGCTGTGTGCTGATGTGGCAGCCCCCCACCCCAGTAGGCCACAGCTGGTCAGGATGAGGCCCCCAGTCCTGGGGAACCCAGGAATGCAATGTCTTCATTGCTCTATCCCTGTAGCCCCCTCCCTGGCCATCCTGCCATTTATCTCCCTTTCTTTCTACCTTCCTACCCACTTCACATTTTGGGGGGGCTTTTGGGGAAGTGCAGACAGAAAGGAATTGTCCAGCCCCAGGCTGGGGTCAGAGAGAGCCAGCGCCCTGCCCAGCCTGGTCCACACTTGACTTGCCTGTCCTCTGCTTGCTTCTCCTCTGGACTCTCACTTTGAGAGGGCTCACTACCCTCTGCAGTCCCCTCGTTCTCCCAGAATTGCTGCCGCTGCTCCATCTTTTGGGACCAGTCACCAAACCCCTCATCTTCATCCAGTTCAGAGGACTTTAGACTGAGGCTGAACGAACAGAGGAAAAGGGGATTAGGAAAAGACATGCTGCAACCTATGTTCCTTTCCTTGTCTCTTCCCTTAGACCCTAACTCCCAGAGTGAGCTATCATCTGCTTCTGAGGTGGCTCTCCATGGCTAGGTTCTGTCTCCTTGTGGTCAGATTCACCCAGGGTAGAGCTGTGCCTTCTCCAGCAGCCTACAGCTTCCTGAGAACAGAGTTGTGCTTTCCCTGTCAATCTAGGACTCCCTGAGTGCAAAGCTATGGCTCTACCACCAATCTAGGACTCCCTGAGTGCAAAGCTATGTCTCCACCATCAGTCTAGGACTCCCTGAGTGCAAAGCTATGTCTCCACCATCAGTTTAGGACTCCCTGAGTGCAAAGCTAAGTCTCCACCATCAGTCTAGGACTCCCTGAGTGCAAAGCAATGGCTCTACCATCAGTCTAGGACTCCCTGAGTGCAAAGCTATGTCTCCACCATCAGTCTAGTACTTCCTGAGGACAGAACTATGTCTCTACCATCAATCTAGGACTTCCTGAGGACAGAGCTATGTCTCCACCATCAGTCTAGGGCTCCCTGAGGACAGAGTTATGGTTCCACCATCAATCTAGGGCTCCCTGAGGACAGAGTTATGGTTCCACCATCAGTCTAGTGTTCCTTAAGGGCCAGACTATACCTCCCTCATTAGTTGAAGCTCCCTGAGAGCAGAGATGTGCCTCTTCTTTTAGTCTATGGCCTCCTAGAGAGTAGGACTATCCCTCCACCATCAGTCTAGGACTCCTTGAGAGCCAGGCTATGCCTTCCTCATTAGTCTATGACTCCTCAAGAGCAGAGCTGTGCCTCCTCCTTCAATAGAAGGTTCTCTGGGAGTAGGGCTGTGCCTCTCCCTCAGTCTAGGGCTCATTGAAGGCCAGGCTGTTCTGCTACTGAAAGCAGAATTTAGGGCTCCCTGAAAGCAGAGATATTCCTCCCCGATCGGTCTAGGTCTCTCCAAGAGCACAGTGTTGCCCCTCCTTTCAAACTAGAGCTCCTCGAGGACAAGGTTATGCCTTCTTCAACAGTCTAGGGCTCCCTGAGGGCAGGACTGTGCTTCCTTCATCAATCCAGGGCTCCCCCAAAGCAGAGCTCTGCTTCCTTCTTTAGTCTAGGACTGTAGAGAGGGTTGTGCCTTCCCCCATCCATCCTTGAGGCTGCTGTGGCCCTCAAGCTGATCCTTACAGCCTTTCTTAAGCATCAGGGTGAGCTACTGGGCAAGAAGGGGTTGGGGGGCTAGCAAGGACCCAGTAACTGAAGACCTGAGTGAGAGGCCATGACCCCTGCAGCACCCCACCCCGCCTGAAGCTGCTGACTCCGAGAAAATGGAACAAAACAGGGCCAGGAGGAAGGGGAGAGTTATTGGAAAAACAGCCCAGCCCAGCCGCGGAGGCCTCCTGGGCCCGAGGAGGAAACGAGCCGGCCCGTGGCCGCCAACTTGGACGTGGTCTCTGTGAGTCACTGGCAGCCAGGAGTTTGGGCGGGGGGCTCGGGGGCCAGGGCCTCATGGCTGGGGTCAGCACCAGTCCAAGCCAGGGCTGGAGACATTCAGGGTGTCCAGAGCCTGAGTCAGGGCCCCTGGAGGCTGTTGGGAGGGGAGGGCCTCGCATAACTCTGTAGACCCTCTGGCTAGTCTTCATCCCGCAGATGGTGTTTACTGGAAACTGCAATGACCTTTGTCCTAAGAGCTGGGCCCTTCCCCTAATTCCTCCACTGTGGCTCTAAGTCCAAGGCCTGACCCCCAGCATGTGCTTCTGCCTAGGTCCTATGTGGCAGTAAATAGGGGTCCAGGACCTAGCAGCCTACAGTGCCTGCTCTGCTGGCTGTTCCAGGGAATGGCCGCCGCCTTCTTCATCTTTGTCCTGGTCCTGCAGCTGCTTCTCTCGCTCCCGTTGGCGTTGCTCACGGGCAGCCTCTTCTTTGTCTTCCTCTCTCCACTGAGTTGTGAGCCTGGAGAGGTAGATGTAGAGAGACAGTCGTCATGCCGTGAGATGGTGAGGGTAATGGACAAGCCCCTGCTGCTGGCAGGCAACCACAAGTCCCCAGACCAGTCTATGGGCCTCAGTTTACTCTAAGAGGAAGGCTATGCAAAGCAGCTGTGAAAGTGCCTCTGACCAAGGGGGTAATCCCAGGGCTCTGTACACAGAGGTGACCCTCTGGGAAGGGAAGAGACATCTGTGTTCACATAGGCTTCAGGCAACCAGTGTTGGAGTTGGTGATCAACTGTCCCGTCCTGCTGGCCCCCTCTTACGTTAGAACATAGTCACCTTGTTCCATGTGGGGACCAAGAAGGACTTTGGGAAAGGTGATAAGGAGTCCAGAGAGAGTCTCAGATATGGCCACTAGTACAGTCTCCATCTGGAACCTTCCTGCCTGCTTCCTAATAATGGCATGTTGGGAGACAGTAGCCACCACACAGGGTCCAAGTGTGAGACTGCGGCTAGTAGTTACCAGGTCAGGCCTTCTTTATCATCCGACCAGCCCCTTCCTCACTCTACCTTGCACTTGGGGACCTTAGAGCATCCCATCCTCACCCCAGGATCCTCTCCACAGAGGTCTCTCTGGGTTGTTTCAAAGTTGGGGAAACTGAGGCAAGCAATATCTGCAGCCCTCAGAATATGCTGACACTCAGACTCCTTAGAATCCTTTTCCCTAAGCCAAGGCACAGTCAGAGGAATCAGGCTAGCCTGGGCCCCGGAGGTCTGGAGACCCTACACAGCAAATCTGTGTTGCTGGTGTCTAGTAGATACCTCAGGCCTTGGCCACTGTTCCCCCCAACAGCCCCTCCAGTTTGCCTGGAGTTGAGAGGGGTTGGGGGTCTCTGTTCTACAGTTTTCACTGCCCCGGGCCCAAGGTTCCTGAGCTGCTCAGAGTTTTGGCTCCCTTCTGGGGTCTCTGTGCTTCCTAGCAGTGTCCGCCGAATGACCCCACAGCCCGCTCCCCTCCAGGCCTCAGTCCCCTGGCCAGGAAGCCCTGCCAGCACATGATCTAATCTCTCCAGGTCTCCCCTAAGCCTCTCAGACGAAAGCCAGGCCTCTCCACAGGCTCCAGGATGAAGTTCACTCCTCCCTCCTTCCCCCCACCTCCCGCCCCGCCAGCCACATGGGATTCCAGCCACGCAAGCAAGCTGCCTGCCCGCTCCTACCTTGCACCCCCAAGCCGAGCTGCCTGCCTCAGCCTCAGAAGGGCCTTCAATTTCCAGTCTGAGAAAGCCCCTTAATTCCCTACACCTGGCTCCCATCACAGGCAGATGCCGAGGGCCTCCTGGTTCTCTCCGTGGCCTCAGCCAATGTGGGGGCCGCTTTTGGCCCTTCTCCACCTGGTAAAGTGCAGTTCTGTGCTCTGGGGGCTGTGGGTTGCTCCTCACACACACGTTTACCAGTTGCCCCCCCCCCCCAAAAAAAAAGTCAGGGCGGAGTGTATGGAGAGAAGAGGGCTCCCTACTCTGTCTGTTTCTGAGGCAGACCATAAAGAGATACCCCCTGGGGTGGGTTTGTACTTACTTTCTGAATCTATGTACGTGCAGGGTAGGGTGTACATGTGTTTGAGCGTATGTGCAAAGTTCTTGTGCATGTCCAAGCACTCAAACACTTGTGTGGTTGTGTAAGCCTGAACTGGGGCACAGGATTCACTTAGCTCAGCTTTGTGAGTATGGATATCTTGAATAGGGGGTTTCACTCTGAATGGGACCAGAGCCTTGCCTCTTCTACCGAGGGCAACCTCCCTGCAAGCACATTTGTGTGCAGGACCCCTTGGGGTCCTTCACTTTCGGAGCAGAGAATCCAAGCTACCACAGCATGTCACCAACACACAAAGCCCAAGGAAAGGGGCATCGGGGTTTGGCTTGCAACAAGTATAGGAACAAGTACAGGGATTCCATCACAGCTTTCTTCTGAGCAGGACACGTACACATCTCATGTGGCCACATAGGCACTCACACACAGGCCCTCCCACGCACGTGCTCACACATGAGTACACAGGGTCACCCTCAAACATGTGCAGGCAAGGGTAGGGAACAGGGATCACAAACAGCAGGTCCCATCCCCTCCCAAGCTCTCTCAGGGGGCCGCCCCTGCCTCACTATTTACTGTTTTCCTAACCATCACCCCGACAACGTGGTGCCGGCCTGAGCCTGGGACTGGCAGGAGGCCAATGTGTATTTTCTGGGAACATCCTTTGTGAGACCCACCCCCTCCAAAGTTACCCTAACTTAGCCCTCCCTGGACAAAGTCTTGGGGACAGTGGGGTGCAGGGTAGGGGTCTACTAGCATCACCCCCCTCCCAGCCCCTTGCTGGAAAAAAAGCTTGTCCTAGCTCCTGACCCTGCTCTGAGGCTGAGCAGGCCTGGGGCCCCTTTCCCCTGCTTCTTCCCTCCCGCCTGCCTCAAGCAATGAGTAATGCGCCCCCTCCCCATGACCTCACCCCGTCACTATTCCACAGCTGGGCTCCGTTCTGGGAACTGGAAGGGGGTGGCTCTCCTGGGGTGGGGTGGGGTGGGGGCCTCTGGCCTGGGAAAGGCGCCCCCCGGCCAGCGGCCCAGACCCCTTGGCACGTTCTTCGGAGCTGTCAAGACTCTGGCGATGGCCGCCCCGCCCGTGGCCCTGGCCCCGCGCAGCTGCAAGGGATTTGGCGTTCCCGTACAAACGCAATCAGGCCATTTCCTGAGTCTGTTCTGGCTCGAGGGGCCCAGAGCTCAGCCTAGGGGCTGGGGAATGGGGCCCTGTCCCCCCACATCCTGCCCACACTGTTACAGGGCTTACCACAGGCTGGGACTGGGGTTGGAGCTGGGCCTGGTGCTGAGGCCCCACCCAGGTGCACAAGGGTGTACAGACCCCCACAGTTCCCACTCTGAATGGGGCTCTTTTAAACTCAAGGCAGTTGCTCCTGTCTTCTGCCCCCCTACTCAGTGTCTTGGCCCTCTTCATCCTCTGCACCCGTGCCCCCTCTCCTGCTGCCCAGACCCTGCTGAGAGCCCAGCAGTGCCCACCCTGGGTCCAGTCCTCCCAGCTACCCCCACTCTCTTTGTTCTCCCAAGGATAGTTCTAAAAGGTTGACAGGCTTCAGTCCCTGTTGCAATTCTGCCCCCTGCAGGCTACCCATGTGACTGCCCCTTCCAGCCAGCTTGAGCCCAAAGGCCAGTACCCATACTGTTTCTACACTCTTCAGGGGGACACGAGGGGGGTGTGCATGTGTGAGTGGGATCATGCAAGGATATCCCAGGTGACCTTCTCCTTCAGATTACAGGGGCCCCTCCCACCACCGTCTCCTGGGTACCAGAGGAATGGAAGTAGTGAGGAGTCTGGGGGCAGCCACCAGGAGGGTTGATTTGACTCTCTGAGACCACCAGGGTCTCTTGCCCCCAGGGGAGTAGCTTCCCCAGGGTCACAACACTGCCCACCAGGGGTTCACTTGACCTGGAAGTAGCTGCATAGCCCTTGGGAAAAGGGACAGAGCAAGGAAAGCCCTCCTGGTGCAGGCTCTTAAAGATAGGTGCATGGAACTCAGGATCAGTCTTCAGGGATCGCTGTAGGCCACAACCCACGGCCCATACTTCTGAGAGCCAGTCCCTGTAGCTGCTATTAGCTGGACCCATGGATTGTTGGATGCATTCCCCGCGGACAATCTACAGAATGGTGTGGGGGTACAAATGCTCCATCGCCACCCACCCTGGAAAGAAGCATGGAGGTGGGTGTGTGGAGTGAGCTCAGAGTGGAGAGCCCCCCCCTCCCCCCCCCCCCCCCCCCCCCCCCGGTCAGTAGTAGGTGAGTGCTAGGTGGGACAGGCAGGCGAGTACAAGTTTGCTCCCTGAGGCTAAGGTGAGGATAAAGGAAGCTGCTCCCTATCCCGGGACAGCTGGCTCTGGTCCAGTCCTCCCTTCATCTTCCTAGCAGAGCGTGGGCATGGTGGGGGTTACTCTTTCTTATTGTCAGGGCCAGTGTATGAAGGGGATAGTTCACTGGGCAAGACCATGTTTCCACTGCCCAGAAAAGCACTCCAATTAGTTGGTTGAAGGGAGGAGCATGATCTTGGCCACTGTTGTGAAGGATGATTGGGACCTTTAGGCCAGAGATGAGGAGAGTGCCACAAAGTCAAATGGCAAAGAAGCCTGTCGACCCCAGAGGGACTCAATGGCCCACAGGGTGGCCTCTTGAGGTGTGAGTTGATCCCACACCAAGGAAGCCCTGGTTCTGTTCGGGGAGCTAGTGGAGAAGGATGGGCGGAGTGGGATGCAGGATACAAGGAAGTGAGAGGGAGAAGCCAAGTCTGGGCCTAGCTGGGAATGGGGGACAGGAAGTGATCTTCAGAACAGCCCAGTGTCCATGACACGTACAGCAAAACCCAGGCCTCCCTCAGTTGGGAGAGACACTGAATAGGGCCTGGATATGCAGCATGGGGTGAGAAGGTCCCTGGAGATAGACAGTACTAGGTCACTCCATTCCAGGGTGGAGATCTTTAAGGGGTCTCACAGAAGCAGCCTAAGTAGGTTGGGAAGGTGGGAAGGGGGGATGGATGGCACAGGGACGGCTGGGTTGCCATACCCCTGGCTGCCTGGTCCCCAGGGCACCGCCCAGGTCAATGTTCTGTCCATTGTGGGCAGCATATGCATTCAGAAGATGAGGAGAAAATACCCAAGTTAATACTGGAGGCTCAGCCTCAGTGGCTCAGCTTCCCAGGCTGCTGCCCTTGGTCACAGGTAACATGAACAGCCAAGCATGCCTCTGGGATCTGTGCTTCCATGTTTAAGAATCAAACCCTCTATTCTGTGCTGAGTACTTGGTCTGCCCTACTCTCAGAACACACAAGCAGCCCACATTCTGGGGACTTGGTTAGTGTTATCCGTGCAAGGGATAGTTCTGAAGGGTCATGGTAGCCAAGCCTAGGGGTGGGCCTTGGGAAGATTAAAAAGTGCAGATTGGTTGGCTGGGGCTCTGGGAATCACCGAAGGTTCT